GAGATATTTGTTAAAAAAAAAGAAGTTGTAATAAATCGTAGTATTGGCGAAGATAAAAGAAAATAACGTGAAAGATATAAGAATGAAAAATTAGATACATGTTCCATCAATTTGCATTCTTTTTAGTAACATCTGGTATATATTATATATCCGTTCTTATGTATTGCTAATTTAAATTGATAGAAGAAAAGAGAACAGAAAAAAAATGTTATCATTCATTTATGTCTTTTGTTATTTTGTTTTATCACATCCATTGAAATTTTTTTTAGTTTTTTTTTTTTTAATTTTTAATTTTTTAAAACTATTTTTTTAGTTTTTTTTTTTGATTTTTTTAAATTTAAATTTTTTTAATTTTAAAATTTTAATAGATTAAATTGAAATTATAACGAAGAGAACAAAAAGAATTAAAATTAAATTTTTGTTCCTTTTAGCATGCTATTATAATTTTCCAAAAATGTACATCTATTAGGTGATTATTTTTCTGGTGCTCATGTCTTTTTCTGTTGATGAACGAAGAATACCTGATTTTCCTAGACATTTATTTCGAACTGGTTTTGCTCATGTATTAAATTTATGGTATGATTGCGCACACCAATACTGTAAAACGTAAAATGAAAACAGAAAATACATTGCTAACAATAAACTGTCTTTTATATTTAACATTTCTAAAGGTAATGATATAATCTAATTATGATATTTTCTTAAGCTTTGTTTTCTTTAAATAATTAAAAGCAGTTTATTTGTTATTATCAAAAAAAAAAAAAAAAGGATGAGAAAAGAGTTTTTAGATTTTTTAAATCAATTTATCATTTTTGCATCATTTACTAGGAATATTTGAGAAATATTTAGATCAGTATAAAAATTATATATATATATATATATATATATATAAATGAGTTTTACTATATTCTTATCCCACTATTATGAAAAAAATTTTACAGTGATTATTTGTTGAATAAGCTATCATCATATAAAGTTAATTGCTGTTGAAATATTAGGATTATTGATGTGGAATGAGATAGAAATAAAAATGCATTATTATTTATGTTGAATTTAGTTGGTACAGCTGTCATTTGAATTATTGATGTGCCATTTGTGAATTCAATTCTTGTCCTAATGCAATATATTGAATGTTGTCATCATTTACATCTTGCACATCCTCACTTAACTATTTTTCATTTATTCATTAAAACATTTAATGTAACTTTTATTTCCTATCTATTTTTCAGTCAGTTTTTTTTTTTCTTTTTTTTTTAATTTTATGTTGTTTCATTTTTTTATTTTGTTTATAAATTATTTGTTGCTATTGTCTATTTTAATACAAGTGTTTTAAAATTTAAATGTTGCGTCTATTTTTTCCTTTCTCTCTCTCTTTATTTATTTATTATTATTTTTTCAATATATTTTTGTATTCCTGAAATATTGTTTAGCGGAAAAGGAAAAAAAAAAGAAAAGGTGAAGAAATGGGAGAGAATTATGTGATATTATACCATAAAATGATATGATACCATGTGATGTATTATTATCTAACTTTTAATTCGTTTTGTTACAAATTTATGTATAATAAAATAATAGGATGTAAATTTTATAACTTTTTTCGCTCTATCGTTAGATTTTCTTTATATTAAAATAGTTGTAAGCCTAACTTATATATTTGTTATATTTTGTCATTTCATAATAATTTATTACTGTGACAATGATCACATTATAAATGCATTAGAGCTAAAAGTTATAAAATTTAATTATATTCCATCTATACTTTTAATGTATATCATTATTAGTGGTTTTATTATTTGCTTAGATTACTCATTTATCAATTCTAAATCTTTTAAAGCATATAGCATATATTCTATAAAAAGAAAAGAAAAAAGATGAATTGAACCGATTAAATGTATTTATTTATTAATTACATTGAGTAATTTTTTTTTTTTTTTTCTCATCTTTTTTAATGTTAAAATGATAGCATATAGTGATTACCGTTGCTTGTATCATTTGAGAAAGGAAAGGTTCGATTAAGAAACGGCACAGGTGTACTGATTGACAGTGATATGAGCTGGTTTAGTATCATTACAAGGCATTCTTCAACTTACAATCTCATGGCATTGACTGACTGATTGATGATTGCCCGATTTTTGATACAGCCCCGTTCATCATACCGCCGCACATTTTTTTTTTTGCTAAATTGCTTTTGTGATGTGTTGTTATACTGTAAAATTATTCTAACTCATTTTATTTGCTTTCTTCAGTAGCTATTATTCTTTGTTAGTACTGCTATTTTGTAGTTGTAGTAGTAGTAGTGGTGGTTGTTGTTGTTGTTATTGTTATAGCTGTAAAAGATAAACAATGATGGTATTAATATGGAATGTGTTATGAATATGAAAAGCAAATGATTGGAAAAAAAGATTAGTGTTTGCTTTAAATGAATAGGATTATAATGAGAGAAGCTATAGTAATATTGTTTGTTTGTTAATTTTTTTACTATAATATAATTTATTTATTATGATATAATATGATTTTAGTTATAATTTTATTATAATATAATTAAGGGAAATTTATCATCTTTCAAATTTTATTTTTAAAGTATTATTTTAATTCAATTTATAAAACAATTTACTAGACTAGAGTAATAAATTTATGATGCCGTTTTTTTTTTTTTTTTTTTTTTTTTCAATCATTACTATCAATTTATTTAATGATAGATGAATCATCAGTTATTGCTATTGACTAGTCATTTATTGTTGTTTGTAAGGATAGCAATGACAATGTTGACAATATTATTGCGAAATGATTTGTTTATTTGCTAAAATTTTAAGCTGAATCATGTTTATGACTAATTTCTGATGTATATGTATGTGTTTAGTAATGAAAACATGAAGAAATGGGAAGAAATTGATTTAGCATACGAGATAATAATAAATTTTAGTGTGCGAAAGATAAACATCCGTTTTAGTGACGGATGACCCATACATATTAAATTTTGTCGCATGATGGGAGAGTTATCATTTTGCAAGGTCAATTAGGCATTGATTTGATTTATCTGAGTGTGATCATGAATGAATCAATGAATGAAAAAGTTGGCCTTAAGTAAGCAAAGGTCGTGTTATGTCTAAAAATTGGTTGATATGTTCTACATCTTTAATGTTTTTTTTTTTTTTTTTTTGTATCAAATCTTTTTAACTTATATTGGGATATTTGATGATTTTTCATAAGAAAATTTGAGGGAATAAAGTATAATTATTATTGTTATGTTTTTAATTCATTTTATTGTATTTCATAGAAAATAATAGTAATCATATGATATTAGCATATTATAATAAAATTGTGAAATAATTTTACAAAAATAATTCACATAATGAATCATTTTTGAAATATTTAATTTCTTGTGTAAAAGTACTAATTGTTATCTGTTATTTAAATTATTTATTACGTGGTTTAATTTTATAGTTTTCAGGAATACATACGAATATTAATTAACAGTGTAGATTGTTAGGTTATTATATTATTAATTAAATTAGCGATTTCTATTTTCGTAACAAAATGTATTGATAAAATATTTTTAGAAGTTTTATGGTGATGATTATTATATTATAATGCATTATGTCAATTTTTAGATGGAAAAGTATTTAAAAAATTATTTAAAAAACTTTAAAAAAATTAAAAATTATGATCAATTGAAATTTAATTGAATTCTCTGTCATCTTTATTCCATTCTAACATTTCACTTCATGCTTTACTTTTCATTTAAACAATTCACCGGCTAACACTAAGCATATTCGTTTTATTATCTCTCATCGTCGTCTACTTAAATCTCCATGGTAGCACTTACATTTGTAGGATAATAGTTAATTTCTGGATAATTATAATTTCTTTTTCATTTCTGAAATTCATTTTTTAACATTTAAATTACGATAGGTAGCAATTTAGAAGTTGAGTGTAAATTGAAGAGCATATAGTAGGATTAGCGCTAGGAAAATAGTAATAATTATTTATTAATTCATTTTATAAAAATGTTAACAATTTTTTTTTAATGTATTTTTTATAATTTGTTGCAATTATGTCTTTCTTTCCTGTTTATTCTTCGTTCTTTTTTCCGGTTTCTTTCCATTATAGCCTCGTATCTTTTTCTTATAAGAATTTTGTACGAATGAGAAGGTAGATGAATGTAATATTTTCTCATCATTCATTATATTGTTAATAGTGTATAAAAAAACTTTTTATCAAATGTATTATCCCGAATTTTATTACATTTAGTTTTATTTTGTTACTTATCCACTAATAATATGTAGTATTTTTAGTTCAGGGAATAGTCACATAAAATATAAGTTCAGGAAAGAAAATAGGAAATCTTTAGTGTTAATTTCTTTTTCCTGCTTCCATGATTTTATTATTTCGTTTCAGTTAAATTTTTGATGATTTATTATATAAATTTGGAAACATTTCTACATTTATCTAGGAAATGTTATATTTTGTGATGATGAGAAAAGAATATGAAAATTATCAGTCGATGTGATAAACATGAAGTTGAGGTCAAATTGATTATAGATTCTTAATAGGATTAATAGGGATATTAATACTGTATACTTCAAAATTTGAAAGGTTACTTACCGTAGAATTGAAAATGACCTTTTCGCGATTTTACTTTGTTATACTTCATAACTTTCAATTTTTTATAGTATTTAGATGCTTTTTTAAATTTTGATCATGATATACTTTTTCTCTTCCTCTTTCCTTCTCTCTCCCTCTCTCCCTGTAAATAAGGAATTATTTTGTATTTGAATGAGATATGTTAATCAGTTGACGAACATGAATGTTTCAATAGACAAATATACATATCAGAATTCCTCTCTTCAACATTACTCAGCTAAATCGTTGTATTTTTGAAATAACTAGACTAACAAATTTTTATTTATATCAGTTTTTTTTTTTTCTTTTTTTTTCAGCAATTGCATTTCACTAAACTATAAAGTTGGAAATAGTCTGGTGTAAATTTTGAAATCTAAATGGTTGCAAGTTACGTATTTCCACATGGTGCTACATCACCAACAACTGAAGCTACACTTATTTTACCTTCTTCACCATCATCTGTTGCTGCAATTGAAAAAACTAAGCAACGTCAACAGGTTAGTAATTTTTTATAAAATTTCTTCCTATATTATATTATTTAAATGAGAGAGAAAAAAAAAAAAAAAAAAACTAATTTGATTATTTTACAAATAATTATTGGAATAGATAGTATATTAATGCTACTTACTACATGATCACAATTAAAATTTTATTTTTTTCTTTTTATTTATAAACTTTATTATTTCGTAATCTTTATTCATTCAATCAATATCTTTAATAAGAATAAATATAAATATAGTTGTTGTGTTATTTATAAATATATATATATCGATGAATGATGAAATATATATATGTCAGTAAAGTGTATGCATAAAGGAGAGAGGGAAGGGGGAAGGGAGGTATGTATATGTATTGTATATATGTGTATGATGTGTTTGGTGTGATATTATTTCGAAATTTGGTTGAGAAAAGCATGTGTGCTGTGAAATTGATGTTTTTTAGTGATGAAATATACCCTTGGGTAAATGAGTGAGTGAATGGATGAATGAATGAATGAATGAAAGTAAAGTAAGTGAGTAGTGAATGGATGAATTTATTGCTGTTTGAAAGATGCAAAATGACTTTGTTCCATTGATGATGATAATGATGATGATGATAATGATGATGTTGATAATGATGATGCTGCTGCTGCTAATGTTAACGATAATGATGATAGCGATGATAATAATAATTGATGAAGATGATGATGTTGATAATTATAATGGTGATAATGATGAGATAATAATGGTGATGACGATGATGGTGATGATTAGATTATAATAATAAGATGGTAATGGTGATGATTATAATAGTGATGATGATAATAATAATAATTGGTAATGAGATTATAATGATGATAGTGATGATGAAGTTTGTTTGAAGTAATGAAGTATGAGGAGACAGGTTTGTAATGCTGCAGATAAAAATATAATGTGACGACAGTAAAATGATGTGAAGGGAAAAATGTCTTTATTTTTTTCTTTTTTGTTGTAGTTTTATCTATTTCTGTATGTTCAATTATTCATTAGTGTGTACTTATAAGAGTTGTTAGATTTAATAATAAAGTTTGAAATGAATAAAAGTAAGAGCTAATTTAATTAATGATCCTAATAGAAGTAAACAAGAAACAGAATGTACTAATAACTTCATTTTTCATTTAACTTAGTATAATTACATAGCAATTCCTTTTTTCTTTTCGATTTCCTATAAATTGCCATTAACGTTAATCAAGGCAAAGGTAGTTCATCTTTTCAGGTCAATTAGTAAGAAGGAATTTTAGTTAATTATGTACTATATATATATATATGTATATCAATCTTCTGTAACTGTATTTTTACCCGAATAATAATACATTTATTGTTACTTGATTAATTGTCACATTTTTAATCTGTAGCACTTGCATCACATCTTGCTGTTTTATTTGTTGAATTAAATGTTGCAATTTTTTAAAGTTTTAAAGTAAAAATAGTTATATTTCTTTTTTATTATTTTTTTTAATTTTGTTCTGCATATTGTGTTGTTATACAAATGAAATAGAAAGATAAAGCGGTAAATTTTTTTTCCTCTAAATTTAGCATTTAAAGAATGGACGATACATTTATTTATCATCGGTATAGCTTATTATCAGAAACAAAAAAAAAAAAAAATATTTTTCAAAATGTATTTGATGGTTTTGTGTGTCACATATATATGTTGACATTTATCAATGAATCATTTGAACTTTAATCTCAGTTGTCAAAACAGAGCGGAAAAAGTGAATTTGTTTTCGTGGAAAAAAAAATGTGTAATATTTTCAGGCAGCAATGCTTGATGCATGGTTAGCAATGCATGGTGATAATCTTTACCCTTGTCGGGAAGAAAAAGAACGTTTAGCAAAAGATATGTCAATGACTTATATACAGGTTGTTACTTTTTGTTTTTAAAAAATTGTTTATTATTGTTTGTTATGGATTTTAGATATTTGGTAAATAAGCGGCTGTATTGATGAAGGTACCCGAAAGAAAAGATAATTTTGATAACTGTAAATATACAAACTTTTTAGGATAATATCTCATTTAGATAATGAATTATGCTTAGTTTATAAATGGTAAGTTTCTTTTTTTGTGATAAGAATGCATTCATAAGAAATACTGAATAATAGTTTGCAGATTTTCTCATTTTTTCGACACTTTTTTATATTATTATAAAATAATATCTTTTATGCTTGGGTTTCACGTTTCAAACTTAGCGGATTCATCTCAAGCTATTGTGTTAATATAAATAGCATTTGATATGTTCTAAAGTACTTTTATATTATAATATTTTTTATTGCAATATTTTTTTTTTTTTACATTATTATATTTAACATTTTTTCCCCATTTCTCTACTACGATCTCTAATTCTCAAATACAATTCTAGTTTATTTGATTTCATTTGCTTTTTAGTTTGGCCTAATTTGAGCTATTAATAATCTGAGGTAGTCACACATTTTTATTGTGACTGTTTTTCTTTTTTAGAGTTTTAGTAATTAAAACTATGTTGAATATTATTAAAACTATATATTAAATTAAAATTAAAAATTAAAACTATGATGCTACGAATACTGATTATTATTATTATTGTTTACTACTGTAATTGTTATTATTACTTTTCTCTCTTTTTTACTATTTTTTTCTCTCTTTTTTATTACCACTTAACTATTACCTATTATTGATTATAGGAGATTGAAAGTTGAATTTTGTTGTAAGATAGAATGCATATATTTCTTTTCCCATATATTTCTCGTCGATATCGGTAGAGGATGTCAAAGAGAGGAGGAAGTATTTTATTTTTATTTGTAGTGTATGGAACAACTTTTGCTTGAATTTATAAATGTTCCCGTGTCTTTTGCACCATTCAAACTCTCTCTCTCTCTCTCTCTTATCCTTCTCATCATCATCCAACTTTTCATCTATTCCGACATGTTCTTGAGTTGCAATAAATTTATTTAAACATTTTTTCATATTTGAGCTGTGAAATTTAATGTTTTTATATAACTGCTATAAAATGAACCATAGTTAGTTGTTTCCTTTTTATTTATGCATTTTTTTTTTTTATTTAGCTGTTCCAGAGTTGTTTTGATACATATAGCAAGAAATAAATTGAATTAGAAAATGAAAATGAACAGAAGATTAGAAAAGAATAAAAGTTTTATTGTTATTATTATCAAGTAAACTATTTCATAATAATGTTGATGATTCTGATGATGATGATGATGATGATGATGTATAGAGCTAAAAGATAAAATCAATTCGAGCATACTTTTATAGAATTTCTAGATAATAAGAAGCATATGAATTGAATAAACAAACATATGCATAGATTTTGTTTCATAACGAGTGTAAAATATTGGGCTAATCTTTATTTGAAAGGAAGAATGGAAAGCTTAGAATGAAATGAGATGAAAAGATAGAAATTTCTAACAATGTATATAGATGTATGTATGTATCGAGCATCTTATTTCATTCAATTCATACATTCATTTTAATTCTCCATCTTTTTCTTTTCTTTTTTGTTAACATTTTAAGAATGAATCATTATGTTTGCATATTTCATGAATGAAAATAGAATGTATTTCAATATTTAATTGACACTTTTTCGTGTGTTTTTTTTTTTTTTTTTAGCTCTTGGCAGGTTTTTTTTTTATTATTATTATTACAAAAATTAGATATATAATATGCGTGTAAGAAAAGTAGTTTGATGTGTGGGAGAGGGAGAGAGAGAGAGAAGGAAAGAAAGAGATGAAAATAAGAAATAATTTTGAATTGTTAAAAGAGAAAAATAAGTTTGTGGATGGAGAATAACTTGAGAAAAGTAAAAAAATTTTTTTAAAATATGTACGTAATATTTGTTAAAGATAGAAATGTAATTGTTTATGGTGATGAATGTAAACAGAGTTTAAATAATGCTGAATTGATTATGAGAAGTGTTTGGGTAGTGCTATCATACCAGATGTGGATTGTTTATAAATGAGTTGTTTTGTGTGTTGAAATATTTCTGTTTAAGATGGAATTGATCAGTTGGTTGGTTTGTTGCTGTATATGTTAGCCAATCTAAACTATTGTTATTTAGTTGTAATGATAGTGATGATGATGATAATAATAATAATGACATTACCGCTTTCCATATAATAATCATTGATGAGAATGCTTCATGAAAAAGAGTAAAGAAAGGTTTTGTTTTTTTTCGAGAGAGTGTTTATGAACACTGAAATGTGAAATTTTGAATAAAAGATTATTGTTGATTGCTAGAATTGTTGTGAATATTTTTCGAGAATAGTATAATTAATGTATAATTTAATAGGTGAACATTTGAATGGAAATGTTTATTCAACCACGGATGTAAACTGTAATATATTCTCTATTAAATGAATAATATATTTGAGGATAAGTTGTCTGAGTAACGTTAGGTATTAAGTTTTACCGATGAATATGATGTAAGTTGTAAAGAGCGGTAATTTATGGAATGAAGTAATGATTTTTAAGTGAAATGTTCATTTAGATCATTTGACTGATTGTTAGATTAGCTTGGCATTAGATATGAACTTTCTTTGGTTAATTGAAATGACTTTTAATGGTTCATCTATTTTCGATGAGCTACTTTTCAAATTCATATGATCTCAGCTGATATATGAGGTCATTGCCAATTGATTGGTTAATGACTTAATGGGAAATGTGAATCCTTGATGAGAAATGATGACCTTGGCTTTGGAGTAAAGGTAGTAAAAGAATGGTGAATGTGCTTACTAGGCATTGAATTTTTATCGTCTCTACATTGATAACTTTGGTAAATTTTCGAGTCCCATTTTTTTTTTTTTGAAAGGATTTTATGATTTTTTTTTCTTTGTATTTGACCCATTTGTTGTTTATTGCTTATTTTGTATTGCAAAAATGGTCATTATTCTTGTTTAAAAATAGTGCTTAATTAAAGAGGGATAATTAAAATAATTGTTACATGATTGAGATGTAACAAATAATTGTTCACATGTTAAATCTTAGTAATACCTGAAATATCCTAATTAAAACTACTTGTGCTATTTCTGCGACTAATTCGACTAAGCTTTTTTTTTTTTTTTTTTTGCAAGAATAAAAGCAAGATTTTTATTGCGTTATTATTTTTGGTGCGTTTCTCCAACAAATCAAACGGTATCTTAGTTTTATGTTGATATGTATTTGGTTTTCTCTTTATTACAGTGTCTCTCTAATTCCGAAGTAATGCAATATTCACGATTTTCATTTATTTTTGAATTTATGTGAAATACCTTAATATGAGACTTAAATTTAGTAAAGTGAGATTTCTTTTCGAGTTTCACCATTGTTGAATAATAGAATATTGTTAGCTTTGCATTCCAGTTTTTTAAATTTTCAACTTTCAGGTGAATCGTTGGTTTGCAAATCGACGTCGCAAGCAAACGAAACGTCGAAAGGTTGAAATTGAATCACCTCGATCAGTTACAATACCATCATTGTCATCCTCTATTGCAACAACAAACAAACATAATGCATTAACCGGATTGTTTGAATCAGAACAAGAATCAAACTGGGCATCAAAATTACCACTTGGTTAGTGTTTAAAAGGGATTTCTTATAATGTTTAAGTAGTTTTTCAGAACTTATTTCTAAATTTTGATTCTGTATTATTCTGTCATTCTCCTATCCACTCTTGTTAACTGATCAACATTTTTCTACAAGAGAAATAAGTGAGAAGCATTTATCATAATAGACATTTAATAATTGTAGCGATCCTTGTAGTTATCATCATATCAGCTAAAGTTTCTTTTTTTTTTTTTTTTTTGAAAATGTTAGTCATAGTTTTAGTAATAATAAGATATCGCATGTAACACGTAGAACGTTGCATGTTTGTATGTATATAATGCACTTTAAAATGTGTCTTACAATGCAATAATTGGATAATATTTAACTTCATTATCTAACGGAGCTATAGGGATATTACTTATCGTTTCTTTCTTTATTTATCATAATTAGTTTTGCTTTTCCCGAGAAAATAGAAATTAAATCCTTGTCAGTATTGAAAATCTCGATGCAGCATTCAATCGAAAAATAAAAGTACAAGTATACAATTATCGTATACTGCATCGTAGTGACCTTAACTTCCTGTATCCTGAATAGGAAGTATCGTATGAAATTGTTTAGTTTTGAATTTTTGTAACAAAAATTTCAGATATTGTAGCTAAGGGTTTTTTTCTTTAAAAACTTTGGAAGAGGTTTATTGTTCTCAGGGAATTTTTTTGACTGTAGATACTAATATATAACAGTAGAATATAATAATTCAGAGAAGCAACAATATAATAAATTTTATAAAATGAATTGAGATCATCCAAGTAGTAAAATCTCTTTTTGTGGTCGAACTGCTTCTTCAGTTGAACTTTGTCCCACTAAATATGAATGATCTTTTTATGTAGCAAGCAGTATGCATAAACAAAGTAATGATTTACAATAAGAAATTGATCTGCCGAAAGAATAATCAATCTAACAAAGAGCTGTTGACCTAGTTCACAAGTAAATCTAATTACTAGTTGATAAGCCGCAAAGGAGGTGAGTTAAGTAAAAGTTGTTAATTTTGTAGATTATTCAAACATAATTTACAGTTAATAACCAAACAATAATAAGGTCAACTAAATAAAGAACCGATACTGTGTAAACAATGTGTGAAAGATTTATATTCTAAACATAAAATTGGAAACAAAGAATTTAGAAATAAACGTTATTTTGCGATAAATTCATCGAACATATTTTTACCTATATTCTCTATTCTTATATAATATTTTAGAGTTTCTCGATACTAAAAATCCGCGATAGATATAAATATTTGAGGAAGGGAAATAGAAAATGTTGGAGGGAGAAATCCTAATAGCTTTTTTCAAATTTGATATTTGTGTTACGCTCTGGAAGATCTGATCAAAGGGGCATTGTTCTAGTAATAGCCAATATTAGGCTTTTCTGTTTTAATGCTTTAGCTCTTTTTGCTAATTAATTTGCAGATGACTCTTTGAATACATATGTGTATAAGAGATGGGAGAAGAGTTGATTTATGTGCCAAGCATTTTAGTTTGATAGGAAGCCTAGATATATATGTCGCAATGACAAAAGATATCAATAAATAGGTGACACTTTTTACCCATTAGAAGTCATGTGGGTGTCAATCTTTTTTTTTTTTTTTTTTTTCATCTCATTTTATTGCCATTCGAGATACATTCAGCAAAAAAATTATCCGTTATCTTTGATATCGTTATTATTGCTCTCTTCATAGTTATTTCATTATCTTAGCTGTTGTTACAATGGTTATCTAAAATTTTCTCTGATTATTATTATTATCATTATTTATTACTATTGTTATTTTTATTCCATTGTTATTATTATTCTTACTGTTTGTTTATCGATCAAGTGATGTTTACTTTTATAGCTATATTGTTAAAAATATTCCATATTTACATCAAAATATCAATCATTTTATTTCGCTAAAAAAAAAAAAAAAAACTAAAAAATATAAATATTTATGGCCGTTTGATATGCTAGGATGAAATGCTTGATATACTTTTCAATATTCTTTTATGATATTGGTATTTTAAAATTAGGAATTTGATTTGCAATATATTTAGATAATATTTTATGATGCGTTAGTGTTAAAAAAAAAAAAAAGTAAAATATTATCTGTTTAGATTTATTGTGTTAAATTTATTCGTAGAGTACTTAGGTTACTCTTTTGAGTTGTTGCCAAGGACGACCATTTTTTCTGTTCCTTATATTTTAATTATTATCATTTTCATTTTTGTTGTGTTCATCCTTGAAATGTAGAGGTACACCTCTACCTGTATAAGTATATTCCCATACTGTCCGTATCATAGCAACCAAGAAGAATTATGAATGAAGTCATTACATATTTTAGTTTAAATAATCTGCAGATATCATAAAACATTTGAATTTTGTTATTCAATATGAAGCATTTTTGGACTTATTTCAAATCATTAACTTTCATGTGTTTTTTTTTTTTTTTTTGCAGGATTTAAAATTTATTGAAAAGAATATATTCCTAAATATACCATTATATGTTATCTCTACTGCATCTTTTGCATGCTTTAATATTGTTTTATTGTCCAACTAATCTTTACTTTTAAATTAATATCATTCTAACAGTTTTGGTAAAAAGAAAAATTCGTTCCTTAGGTATAAAATGTAGTAAACAATCTTTATGTATGAAAATGCAATGCAATAAAAAAAAAAAAAAAGAAAAAGGGAAAAAAAATAAAAAAGTATATCTTACTTACATATCAGACAAATACAATAAAATAAAATTGTGATGAAATTATATTGAATTATTTATGCGATAGGTTAAAATTTCATCATGTTATAGAAGCATTTTATATATTCATGAAGACTATGCATATATTCTCATTGATGCAAATTATAATAAAAAGCAATTAAATCATTAATGATAAAGTGGGACAGCAGCACAAAGAGTAATAGTTAGGGACACAAATGGCAAATAGCATAAAAAAAGTGAGGAGAATATTTTCGATAAATAAAAATATTAAAATCATAAATAATAATTTGAAATGTTTATAGACTAAGATAAAAGTTACTATATTACATTTGTAAAGACGTAAAAAGAAAATGAAAAGAAAAGGCTATCTCCCTCTTTTAAGTTATTACATTTTCTAAATAACTATTAACAAAATGATTCAATTTTAATATTATGTCATCATAAATCTTATCAAAAATTATAGAATGCAATTAGAATTAAAAGCCTATATAAGATTATATAAAACTTTTTAAAGAATGATATAACATTAACTTACGAAAAAATAATTTGAAAAAAAAGTAGGCCAAGGTTTTTTTCTTTTTTTTTTTTTCTTTATTGAACTGTTTTTCATAGTAAATGAATTATTAGTAACAGGAATAAATAATGATATAAATGGAAAAGCTAAGATAATTTATTACTTTTAACGAAATCTATGTATTATTAAAAGATAGTGTTGATGAATTGTTGCGAATATTTTATCTCAATAATACTTATATTTTCTTTTTTTTAAAAAAAAAAAAGTTGTACAGCACGGGGTAATATAAGTGAGTGTTTTTCAAGTAATAAAATGGGGTTTTTTCTTTTTTTTGAATTTTTAAAGTAGAAAAATTGAGAGCTTTTAAAGTAGACAAAATAACCGCAACTATCTATCTATATGATAGATAATAATATAAAAATAAAATTTTTTCAGAAGGAATAAAAATAAAAAATTGAGATTAGATGAAAATTTTCATTTGTTCTATTTCATATTTTAAGCTTACAGTGATTTTTTTTTACAAAGTGAAAAAAAAAAAGACTCAGTTACACTTTGGTAAATTTTTTTTTCTCTTTGACTAACTCTTAAATTCTTCCATCAATTAAACCCTGAGAGAGAGAGAGAGAGAGAGAAGGAAGAAAAAAAAAGCTATACTCTTTAAAACATTTGAGTATATTTAGTTTTGCAATATCTCATTTGGTTAATGATCCTAATAAATGAAATGATATTATCAAGAAATTTTCTAACATTCAACTTTTTTAAAAACTGCATACGATTAATGAGAAAAAAAATAGAAAGCATTTGTAGTTTTTATATAGAAATATATTTTGGATTATATGAGTTTTTTATATAATAATTCATACCTGTGATATGCATAAAAATAATTTTAAAATTATTTTTTCATGACTTTAATTTTATGACAAGAGAAGTTTGAATTCTGACATTATGATTTATTTTAGTATGAATTGAGCTTTTTTTTTTTTTAGATTTATGAAATTTTTGATTAATAAATGTTGTAAATAATTTAAAAATTTCTTATTTCATTCTAATCCGAGTTATATAAGTTTTTTACATTTTGCTCATGTTTTTCAAACTTTTTTTAATTATAATTTTTTCACCTTTAATTTATAATGAGAAATTAAATATTTTTTTAAAATTTTTCATTGGCATTAATTTTAGTGTATTAAAATTTAATATTTTTTTAAATATATTAATCGATAAATTTCTGTATATCTTATATACGAATAATAATTTTTAGAAACTGGAAATTAGCGAGATGTTTTTTTTTTTTTTTCAATGTTTTAGTAATTTAGTAGTACTGATGGTAATGAATTATAAGCATTAAAATAATGAATACTTTTAGAGGGGGCAAAAGCTTTCGATTGATTTATAATGCTAACAGGTAGTATTAGCAGCTGTCGTTGATGACGATAGAATTCATCTAAAAGACCAGATGTTCAATTCTCGTTTTTTTTTTTTTTTTGTCCTGTCATAAAAGGAAATAATTAGAAGAAGAGGAAACTTTTCTCCTTTTTTTAAAAGAGATTTTAAAATAGAAATATAAATTTTTCCTCTTTTCTTCTGTATTTATATATGTGTGTGTGAGAAAAAAATAGAATGGAAGGAGTAACTTAAATTGGTAGTATTTTATTTAGTATCTTTTACTTAATTAGTATAAACAGTATAATAATTAAATTTATTACCTATCAACTATATTATCAGCAAATTTAAAAGATGGTAAATGTGTGATATATTTGATAATTTAATTTAAGGATTACCGTTTTTTTTTTTTTTTTTTTGGGAGGAGGGAGAGAGGGATTTGGAACAAATAAAGAAAAATTATATCATTACTCTGTATGTATTAGCAAGTAGTAACGACTCGAAGGCTAAAATTAACATACAGTTTTATTTTTTGGTAATTGTTTTACTCGATTTTAAGAATGGGAATCTCTCTATTATAAAGGAATGAAACTTGCTTCCCTCCTTTTTTCTTTCTCTCCCTCTCCCTCTCCATCTCTCTCTCTCTCCCTTTGTTCTTTGGTTTTATTGATTATTGAAATTTATCAAATGTTACAGCTAATCCTTCTATCTTGTCTTTCGTAAGATGATAAATTTCGAAATGTTAACTTAGGTAAAATGTGGGAAAATGATAGTGAAATGGAAGAGAAAGGGAATGTGAGGAAGTTAGGAAGGATTTAAGGAGAGGAAGCATTGTGAAAGGGATGAAGTTTTGGAAGGGAATGAGATTATAAGATTAAAGATCAATAAATAATTGTGGTACTGAGAGAGAGAAAGATGAAGAGAGAGAGGGTAAGTATAACAAGATTGAAGAGTGAAGGTAGTAAAATAAGTGGAAGGAAGAGAATGAAGTGTCGTTTGCTTTGTCATTCACATTACCTTTTCCTTTTCGATGATTATTCTTGTGCTACTCTTGAATTGTAATGGTGATGGTAATGATTATGGATGAATTATTTTAATAACTTATTTTACCCAAAAAATTTTATTTCTTACATAGCAATTATGAAGTTCTTTATATTCCTTATAACTAATTATTATTTTATCTTAGATGACAAAATTAAGAGAACTGTAGATATTAGCATTCTTCATTTCTTTTTATTTAGCTTTCAGAGTGTATTTACAGTGAGAACGTATAAATGATTAGATTAATTTGGATAATTCATGTATCTGTTAAGCTATCAAATTATAAATTATCATTATATGTTTGCATTGATGGTGCATAAACAATTTGATTGTTTGTTTCTTTTTTTTTTTTTTGAAGTTTAATAATATAATATAGTATAGAATAGATAAGTGTTAAAATATTATTAGTTAGGCTTATAGGTTAGTTAAGGTTTTCGTTTTGTTATTTTCTATGATTCTTTTTTATTTAAGTTTTTTTTTTTTTTTGTTCACTATTTATCTAATTTGTATTTTAGTTTAGTAACAAGTTTATTGTGAAAGAAAAAAGAGAAATTCATGCAATATTTTCTCTTTTGCTTTTTTTTTTCCCCAAATATGAGAAGAGAATGCTATCTGTGGACATATTGTTATTAGCATTAATCATGATATAATGATAACACACACAACATACAAATAAACAATTTTTATTAATGATATGCTAGAGATGAATTGATAAATTCATTTTTATGATTATATCCAGCTAAATTCATTTTATGATTGTATTTGATTCCTTTTTTTTATTGTAACTTAAAAAATGGGAAGAGGAAAAAGAAAAAAGAATGAGAGAACTTATCCTTTGAATTTTATGTTTTTATGTTTAATATATTCAACAGTATTTTATTTTGATAAAAATTAATGATTAATTAATGTTTTTGTCGTTTTTTTTTTTTTTCTCCTTGTCTAAAGTTATCTATTTTACTATTAATTATCCCATATTCTTTTTTCTTTCTTCAATTAATAACTTTAAGGACTTAATCATATCAAAAAACAAAAAAAAAAAAAAAAAAAAAAAGAATTTCAAGAATGTATAAATGGATTTCAAATTTTCCACTTCTGTTTTTCTCCTCTGCATCGATTACCAATTTCGAGAGAACGATTCGATGTAGAGGAGAAATAAAACTTTTCTTTTTTAAAGAGACATTTTTAAATTACAGAGACAATGAAAATTTGATTGAGCTGAGATGTTGTAAAAAAAAAAGAGGGAAAAGAAAAATAGAAATGACAATTTTTCATCTCTCTTTCGACTATTTTTATTCTGTCCTCAAATTCTTTTTTTCTGTCCGTCACTCTATAACATAAAATAATTTCTTCAGTTGTGTCCCCTTTCCATTCCTCATCTTTCTTCCTTTTTCTTTTTTTTTTTTTCCTTTTAATATGATTTTTATAGCTATTGGCAGCATTTTAACTAACTGATCCAATTGTATGACTTATTTTAATCACATATAGTAGAAGAGAGAGAGAGAGAGAGAGGGAGAGAGAGAGGCAAAAGATAAAAGAAAATAATAAATCGATCCAAGCATGCTTGCTTATTTTTTTTAATTTTTTTCTTCCTTCTCCTCTTTCACTTTTTTCTGTTTGAGTGATATTTCTCCTCTTCTTCTTGTCTCGTAAGAAGTTTATGTCCTACTTTTGTTTTTTTTTTTTCTTTTTATTTTCTTTTATTTTTTGTTTATTTCATTATTTGATAGTTAATCATTAATTCAATGATATATCAATCATTGATGTTTTCATCTTTTTTTTTTTTTACTTAAATTTTATTTCAATTCTTTTTATTCATTTATTTCTTTATTATTATTTATTTAGGAAAGAGAAATTTTTTTTAGAACTGGTTATATTCCTATATTTATTCACGTCTAGTTTTGTTTTTGTTTTTATTATTTTTTTTTTCGTTTTAAAAACAGGTTAAAAAATTAGCCTGTTTTCGAAATATTTTCATTTTTTTTTTTTCACTTTTTTAATGAATATGTGTATGTGTCGTATTGCGGAAGTCACAAAAGATTTAATTGTAAACATATAACGGATATAAAAGAAGTTTTATTTATTTAATTTTTTTTCTTTTTTTGTGTTTACATAATAGTGATTTATCCAAGATGTGTTGGAGATATTAATTAGTAAAAGGAATGAATTGTATTCGATAATGAATTCATCAGAGGTTCGCTGACAATGATCTCTTTGTTTTTATTTTTATTTTTCTCATACGATATTGCCATATTTGAATAATCTTTAAAAAATGATTGGTTTATGTTGATTCACGTTTTCTTTTCTCTTTTTTTAAAAAAAAAAATTACTGAATTACTCCCTTGAATAATTCTTGTATGGATAAGAAGAGAAATTAGGTTTTTATTTAGCCCTAAATATTTATGGACAAAAGTTTATATGCATACGTTTTTTGTTTATGTTATTGTTGAAAAAATGAAACGGATTGAAAAATTGGTAAGATTTGCTGGTATAGTTTTGGCAAAGTTCTTTAATTCTTCAATATTGCATTTTCATCAATATCAAATTATTCTCTCTTTTTTTTTTTTTTTTGTTTTATTTGTTTGCTGTATAAACAAAAATGATTTAAAAATGAATCGAACTATAAATTATGAATTGAAATATCTAGGTTTATCATTTATAGGTGGTTACTTTCATGTAATATCAACGATACATCGCTTATTTATGTATTAAATAATCGTTGTTGGATACATTTTCTTTTTTTCTCATAATTCCATCTCAAGTATTTTCTCTAAATGAAGCTTATTAATGGTGCAAAACTTTTGCACTTTTGCATTGTTTACATTATCGTTGTGATATTGCTTATATTCTACGTCAACATTCACATTCATGTTTACGTTTACGTTTACGTTCACTTCATTCATTTTTTTCATCTTTTATTTTAATGATTTCAGAGCAATAGTAATGAAGTTCTTTTTTTAACAGTGTACATTAGTAGTGGATCGTTGTCACATTTATTTGTAATTTAATTTTACTGGGAATCTTACATTTACGGTCGAAATCTTATCATGTGATTAGTAATTCGAGTCATTTTAAAATCATTTCTATATATGTGTTTCATTTATTCATTATGATAAAATAAATACAAACTTCTTAATTGCCTTAATTAGAGTATCTAATTTGTTAAGCGCATGACTTTTTTTCTTTTTTCAAATGTACTAAGCAAATTTATCATAAATTAATTTGATAAACATTCTTCTTGGCAAAAAAAAACTTTCTTATTCATACTATTAATTTGTTGTGCTAAATGAGGAAATAGGAAGTAAGTGTTATTTTGTGTTCAATTCATTTAATTGTGAACTTTGGTTGTAATGAAGTTATTTGCACATTTCTTTCATGAACGATATTTAATTAACTTTTAATGTATGATTTTTTTTTTTTTTTTTTTTTTGAACATCTTTCTTTTTCTTATTCATAACTATATATCACCATCGTGAATGAAAACAAATGCTAAAAATAAATGATTATAAGTGATAAAATTGAAAAAGGAAATCGTTTTCACTCTTCTAATTATTATTCGTTAGCCTTTATTAAATCAAACATTTTATTGCCATCATTACTTAAATACAGCTGCAGTCATTATATTGTTTTGAAAATACGACTAGCTTTATTTTCATCTTTGAAAAAAATTCATCTTTTATAATGCAATGAGTATAGCATTAATTTTTGATTGCAAAAAATATGCAGTTGTACAGTCATTAGTTAATGAATGTTTAATTAATATAGTAATATCGATGTTCGTTGGATAAATTTGTTTGTTTATTTGTTTAATAATTGATAATTTATAGAATACTTTTAATAATTCCAATTTCTATCTTTAAAATGCTATTCTCTCTCCCTTTCTGTCTTCCTCTCTCTTTTCTCCTTTCTCTTTTTCTAGCGCATTTAATGAATTTTTCATTTGATATTATAAATGAGAAATGTTATCAAGCATGCTTTTTTTTTTTTTTTTCAATGAATGGTTAGGAATATTTGAGTTTTACAATAAATCGTTTGCATAATTTGTTGGATTGAGATGAAATTTGGTAAAGAGAATAGAGATATTTCTGAAGATGATTAAAGTAGGATGTTAAAGATTTATAGTGAAATTTTTAATTTACTAAGATATGATATCAAATTTAAGATTGGTATTTTGTGATAATTTGTAAGGATTGTGATGGAATTTTAATTTATTGAGATACAATATCAATTCAAGATTGATATTGACTGTGTGATAATTCATCGAACAATGATGGAAATAAACATCTTTCTCTCTCTCTTTCTACGTATCCGTGTGTATATGTGTATATTTTGTTTTTATGTAAACAAATTTGTATGTTCTTTGAAGAGAATGAAAGATAGATTAGATCATCTTTCATTTGTTTTTGTCTTTTCTTTCTTTTTTTTTTTTTTTTTTTTTTTTTCAAGAAAATTTATAGTTTTGTGAGAAATATTTCAAGATTATGATAATGGATTAGAAATGAAAAAGGAGGATAAAAATGAAGTATGAAGAGAAGAAATGAGAGAATTCACTAGAATGATTGGGTAGATGTTGGTTTTTGTACTTTCATCAGTTTTATGCATTATCGAATTAGAAAAGAAAAAATAAAAATGAATGTGATTTGGTGATATTGTTTAAATTTATCGGAAAAGAAGTGTTGAATTTTAATAATGAAAATGTTAGTTGGTTAAACTTTTTTTTATTCGATATTAAGTTAAAATGGAATTTCATTAAGCTATTATCAATGTATCGTTTAGCATTTGACATTACTAGATTATTATTGTTTTTATTTATTTATTTATTATCTAAGGTATTTAAACAGTATTATTACTAGCGTTTATTTTAAATTATTGTATTGGCTATTTTTTTCCTCTCAACTTAAAGAGTTAGTCTTTGATCTAGAGTAGATGGAATTAGCTTCTTTCATTACAAATAGATAATTAATTTTAATATTTAGCTATTACTTGAGAAGGAAAATTTCAACACATCTTGGCAATCTTTGATCTTTAGCAATAAGAGACATGTAAAGACGTCCTTGGCAATCTTCAGTCTGTGGCAATTTGAATTGTTAGTTTTGTCCCATACGAAAAGAAATAAGGAATAATGGAGTTGCTGTTTTAAGCTTACATTATTTAGAATTTTCTCATTCTGTTCTGAGAAGGATTTCAGTTTAAAAAAAGAATTTTTTCAGGAATAAAAAAAGAACAATTCTAAATTAATGTATATATGTTTTTATTTAACTAATAATGATATGTTGCTTATTGTAATATTTGATAAAAATATTCAATTTGAAAAGTTAAAGGAAAAATTTTTTGTTTTATTTGAGAAAGGAAGAATGAAAGATTTAGGAATGTTGATGACAGGAATATATGTTGTTAACAGAAGTATGACATCTGATCCTACCTAGCAGTTGGCGTCCATTTTATCAGTACTTATTGTTTGGTTGCTTCTTCATGTTCGACTATTTTTGCTTGTCATCTTACTTAAACACATCAAATAATTGATAAAAGAACGAATAGAATGACGTAAGATGGAGATGGATGAGTGATAGTTTTGAGAAATTGTGTGTGTGTGTGTGTTTTCGAGAAATTTCTATTGGTTGTTAATTGTACTACTATAATTATTGCTTGAGGATTTTTCATTTCAAAAATTTAATTACGAGGAAAAAAAACGAATGTATTTGATGTATTTACGTTGATGAAAAGAAAATGGATTATAGGAGTTAGCAATGATAGGAAAATTTTCAGCTCCCTTTTTTGAAATTTTTTTGTGATCTCAAAACTGTTTTCGAGAGTTTTGTGAGAGATATTCTGGAAAAATTCCTTCAGTCTAAAAATTTCTTTCCTCTATTGGGAGAGAGAGAGAGAGAGAGGTAGGAAAAAAAAAAGCTTGTTAAGGATTTGTTGGATATATATATATATGCATATAGTGGTATTATAATAGCTTATTAATCACTTTCTAAATGAGAACATTAATTAAGGAAGGATCAAGCTATTCTGATTAGTGATATTTTAATATAAAAGGAATTAAATCTAGCTTCTAAGTGAGTAGTACAATATTAAGTATTGCAAAATTGTAGTAGGAAATTTTTGAAATTACTAATGATATGATCAGAATTTGTTGATCCAAGAAAGATATAATTTTCACAAAAACAAAAAAATAAAAAGTAATAAAAGTAAGGAAAAAACCACATCAAGCAGCAAGCAGATGATGATAAATAGTAATAGCACATACAATTTTATTGTGATTACGGACTAATGCAATACATTGAAATATTATAATAATTACTGCAACTGTCGTAAAATTTTGTGGAAAAGATTCAAATTTTGATTGAACATTCCCGCCTGAAATGTTTTATGAGAACTGGTTTTAGACTTCCGTCTTAGTCCTTTTTGTGGGTTATTTAGTTCTCCAAGAAAGATTGATTGCTATTGTAGTTGGTATAAATTGGAATTCTTCCGCTTATTTTGTTCTAATTCTTATTGTTCACGTAATGCTGTTTAGGATATACTAGAAAGTTAAATGGACAAATTATATTTGTTAGAAGTAATATATGTAATATTTTCAATTTATTTTTTCCATAATTGAAGCTTGCTGACCATGCCAATTGATAGTGATTACATCAAGGATAATCTACATTCAGTTTTTTAATTTCTATTTAATATTTACATACCAGAGATTAAATCGAAGCTTCTTTTTCTACTTGATTAGGATATGTATTCCGGAGATTTTAGTAAGAATTTTTTTATTGCTTATTTCTAAATTTTCATATTATCTAATGTAATAATTTCACACTTGATTAGTTTAGTGCTTTTCTTTCCTTTTTGAATTCTTAATTTTTATGTTTTTTTTTTTTTTCTGTTTCATTATTATTATTACAACTAAAACATACCATTTCGTAATACTTCATTGCTTCATGATGATAGAAATTTAATAATGTGCAAATATTTATTTGTTGATTAGTTGAGTTGATATTTGAAGATTTAAATTGATTTAATTCTTACATAATCAAGATGGAAGTAGCCTTCTAGCTCCGACATTTTTTAATATCGTAATTGAATTTGGCAGAAATGATTAAAATTTTGAAGATTTATCGAGGTAGAGCAGTGGTGTAAAACTGCCATGCAAATTTTGCTAAACTTTCAAGTTTTATTTTTTTTCATTGATATTTTAGATTCTATCCAGATCGAACAAAAGAAAAAATCGGAAATGGTAGTACATGCGATACATTCTGATTTGCATAAGACAGATATTGAAACATTGAAAGATGAATTGCGTCGGAATACACCGTCTGCACATATATCAAATAATACCACTTTTCAACAGGTATATTTTTGTTTCACATGTAAAAATTTAGTGCTTGCAGTAAATTTGCTAAAAAAAATTTGGTTTTTGATTACATATTTTAAAAGAAGTTTTAAAATGAAAAAATGAATGAGTTCAATGTTTCTCATTTAAAGACATAATTTATATAATTTTTTGTTCGACTTGTATCCATAATGGAAACTATATAAAGTTAATCAAAATAAGATAATCATTTTACTAAAATATTTCAATCAGTGTATCAAAACTAGTTATATTCTAACTTCATATGGTTTCCAGTTATTTCAGTTATTCTAACTTTATATAGAGCTGTTTAATAATTATTGTAATGATTTAGCAATATATGCTTATTTCCTATTTATCATTTGCATATTTAGTCTAAATGGAATCAACATTTAATGCAATTCAAATTTATTTGAAAATTTCATGTTGATTTTGGCTTGCTATATCATTTAAACAAGAAAATTCGAAATGTAAATTCCACATTTAACTTTTTTTTTTTTTAAATTCTTTTATTTAGGTTCCGGATGTCAATCGATCATTGCCATCACCATGTTCACCACCTGATCAGCGTAGGATATCTCAGTCAACATTTGATAATAAGCTATTACCAACTGCTGCACCTGCATATACACCTTCTCCGTTAAATGCTGCAGCAGTAGCAGCAGCAGCAGCAGCTGGAAATTTTCCGGCAGCTCTTGCTGCTGCAGCTGCTGCACAAACTGCAAATCCATTCCTTCTTGCTGCTGCATTAGGATTACAACAGCAGCAGCAACAGCAACAGCAGCAGCAACAGCAACAGCAGCAGCAATCACAAAATGCATCCATAGCATTTCCATGGATCAGTAATGCGCAGTCATTTACAGCGATGTTACCTTATCTTCAACATTTACAAGCTCAGGTGCAACAACAAGCACAAGCACAGGTGAAATTTTCAAATGATTCTGAACTAATAATAATTATCGTATGTTATTCAATCTATTGTTATTATCACCTTCAATCTTTTAAACTTTTAATATATAGGATTTTTTTTTTTTTATCAAGGTTTTATCATTTCAGGTTGCATTAGCACAACAAATAGCAGCACAACAAGCTGCAAATTTGCATCAACAATTCAAAACGGTTGCGGCAGCTGCAGCTGCTGCTGCTCATACTTCATTGATATCCCAACAGCAACAACAACAACAACAACAAGCACAACTACAGTCACATTGGTTGTCTCCTCCGCCATCTGTTCCACCTCAAATTTCAGCTATAAGGCAGACAACAACCTGTCCGTCATCACCATTACTTCCAACAGGTGCTGAATCAACATCGTCATTATTGGAATTTACCGAATTGAATTCACAATCTCATCCTGAACCACAACCACCTTCACCTCCAGCATCATCCAGTTCATCGTTATATAATGATGAAAAACAGCAACAACAACAGCAACAACTATCACAACAACAACAACAACAGCATTTTTTGTTTAATGAAGATTTAATGATTGATTCATTAATGGTGGAACGAAAAGATTTATCTGAAAAAGAAAGTATTGCTGTTGCCGTTTTAGCTGGTATGGCTGCTTGTCAACGATAGACAAAACGGGATTATTTTTCTGCTTCAGTTTCTTTGTTTATCTTTTGTTTTATTTTCTAATCACACATCATATGACATAAATCCAATGACCAAAGTATCAATCATTCTAACACATTCAAATGTTGAAAACTTTATGAATTTTTGCATTTTAATTATTTTTTATCATTGTGAAATTGGAAGTATAATTCTTTTTTTAATTCTAATTTTTAATCATTTCAAGTTCAAAAAATTTTAAATGATGTTATTGGATTTTAGATCATGTTGAAATTCCAGATACTGAGGATTGGTTTTTTTTTTTGTTCACTTCTGTAAGAGATATTTTTTAATTGTATTCAGTTAACAAAGTGAAGACTGAAAATTTTTATTCCTCATGTTAGCTTATGTATATAAAATAAGACAAAAAAAAAAAAAAAACTATGAATAAAAATAACATGATATGTTAATGATGATATGATAGTTATATGTTTTATATATATATATATATAAAATTTATAACTTTTATTGACTACCTTAGTGTTATTAATTTGATTGTTTTACTGATTGATCTTTAATATCGAGAAACGGTTTCATCATACTTTGCATATATTTTATATTTTCTTTTTTTTTTTCTCATTTTTTTCCTTTTGAATGAATGTCTTATTTGTCAAAATTCTCTTTTCCTTCTTCCTTCTCTTTTTTTTTTTCATCTATTTATAGCATTGAATGCTTGAGAAAAAAAAAAATGGTGCATAAACGGTAACCAATTACCTGTACATATAGAAATAATTGGCCGTTTCATTTTGGTTTTCGGGTTTTATCTTCTTTTTTTTTTTTTTATTTGTCATTTAATTCATTTATTTTGTATGCACATAAGAAGTTACCTATATTAAGAGAATGTTAATGAATAAGATTGAAAGAAATGGAATTAATTGGAAAATTTCAATCAGATTTTCATATGTCCCATGAATAATAAATTAACAGATTTTAACGAAATTTATTTTGGGTTATAAATGAGTAATACAACTTTCAATACTTGATTTGGCTTTTTTTTTTTTATTAGTAGCGGTAATCCTAGAACAATTGAAAAACTCATATTAGTGAGTTAAATCTGAACAAAAAAAAAAAAAAAAAAAGGAAGCCTGAATAAAAGTTAGAGAGGAGGAGGAAAAGTATTCGTGTCATTTTTAACGGGGAAAAAGGGTTTTTTTGTTAAGGATTTTGAAAAAATTTGCTGGTTCATGAGAATTTAATCATTATGTTGAAGTGTAAAAAAAAAAAGTGAATTGAAATGAAAGAATGAAAATATAATGCAAGAATTTTCTTCAACTTTTTTTTTTATTAAAAATGACAGAAGAAAGAGACACAAGAATTCATTGATTTCTTTTATCCATTGTTTGGTGTTTTCTTTTTTTAGTGTTTTGTATTTTTCATTTCTGTTATTCATGTTTCAAATATGAAAAGGAAAAAAAAATTTTGTGAATTTATTTGGCGTAATTGATGAACAGTTTTTTTTCTTATCTGACTTTGTACTATTTTGTTATATTCATTCAATACGGTGTCCCAAAATGTTTTCTTTTTTCGTCTTATTCTTTTGAATTTTCAATTGTTCAGTTATTTTCTCTTTACTTTTTCATTTATGTGAAATATAAAAAATTTTTAAATTTTACTCTTCAAATTTGTTTTGTACATATAGACATATACCATACATATATATATATATATAAAACATACATTGCAAGAAGCATACGAATAATTATGAAATAAAATACAGTTTTGTGATCTCAAAATGTATCTGTATTTTTGAGTGATTTCACGTGTTTTACGTGTAATACGTGGTATTACGATTGGTACAATGAATAATGAAAAAAACTGAAGAAAAAAAAAACGATAAAAATGGATGGTTTTAATTTTATGATAAAAATTCTTGGTGGAATTCTTCTTCACCTGTATTATTTCCTTTTTCTTTTTCTTTTGGTCCAATTTATGGTAAATTATAATCAAACTTTACAATGAATACTTTTTTTTTATACTTAACATCTTTATTTGATTATAATTGTTCCATTTTAATTTCACTTAATAAAGATAAAAGTTATTCAATTTGCTATTACAATTGTATTAGGTGTAAGTGTATTAATAGAAAATGATAATGCATTATTGAGATAATAGTATGATAATAATGATAATTTCATAAATAAAAAAGAACAAAAAGAGAAAGTCATTTCCACAATTTAAATATCAATTATAATTTATAGTGAATTTATTAAGTAATATTGCTAAAGTTGCCTGAATTTGTAGCTTACTAGTCACAACTAAGCTTTGTTTCTTTTCTTTTTCTAAATAATTAGTTTTAAGCTAATTTCGGTATGTGCTATTTAGTTATTATTAAATTTCTCTCACATTCATTCATTATAATTTGTTAATTCTATAAATGATCGAATGCTTTATGATAATTTTATAATATAAATTTATTAATGTGGAATGAATTTTTTTTCTTTCAAATTTCATATGATATTTGTATTATTCTGTGAAATTTGATAGATTAAAAGTGAGTTAATTAGAAAACAATTTTAATAATTTAATGATACAAAATGAATTATTTGTTTGCTAATTGATAATGAATACAATATTGGGTAGAAATTTTTGAAAAATAATTAGGAAGTGAATTTATCATTCATTTTATCATTTTGAATTATGATTTTGCTGCATTTTCTTTACAAATTATCGCGTGTTAGACGTAGTAGGTTACGTCTATTACACAATGAACAGAAGTGACTAAGCGATGTTTTTTTGCTACATCTTTTATAGGTCGTTACGTGATGTACGTACTAGGTTACATTTACTATCACAAATTATCACGTGTAGACGAACTGGGTTATCATTTAATGAGCGGCGATAATTTTTGCTATATTTTCTACAAGTTTTTATGTGACGACGTACTAGGTCACATCTATAACCAGGAATTGTCACGTAGTACACGTGTTGGGTTACGTCTATTGTGTAACAGGTTCGGAAGTATCGTAACCAATAATTTTTACATTTTTTACAAATTATCACGTTCACATTTTTTTTCACTGAAGTTATCACGCAGAGGTTTTTTTACAAGTCACGTTTTTTTTTCATTGTCTTTTTTTTGCAAATTATCATGATTTTTATTACATGTTTCGCAAATTATTATGTACACGTTGTAGACGTAATTGTCAGACGTCTATCATCTACAAAAATGGGATATATCGTTTTTACAGTATTTTTTGTGCATTTTGAGAAACGACTAATCATTTATATGGCAACGATAATACCAGGTGAAGCATCAGAAACGGATGATGATGATGATAATGATGGTGATAATAATGATTGTAATGATTACAATGAAAGTAACATGAGACAAGCTGATAATAGTGAACAAAATGATGAAGAGATGAGGTTAAATATTATTTTGTTTAAATAAAAATTATTAGTTTTTTATTTAGTTTTATTTTAAACAAAAATAAAAAAATAAAAGATAATGTGGGACGATTGTTATATTACTAAATCAACTGTGAAATTATTTTTTAAAATACTATTTCGTAATTCCAGTGAAAAATTTGACGACAAAACTTTAAGAATTTTTGCTACTTCTTTCGTCATATGTAGTTTAACAATAATAATAATGATAATAATAATAATAGTAATAGCAATGACAATAATAATAATAAATGGTAATAATCATTGTTATTATTATGATAAAAACAGTAATAGTAGTAATAATTGATGATAATGATAATAATGGTAATAGCAATAATAGTAGTAATAATTGATAATGATGATAATAATGGTAATAGTAATAATAATAGTAATAATTCATAATAGAAATAGTAATAATAGCAAAGATAATAATTAATTATGATAAATATATTCATTATTATATTGAATTAAACTTTTACATCAAAACTGTAATAATATCACTTAATTTATACAAATTTATTTTCTCATTTGAAATATCATCAATTTAAATGACATATATATTCAAATAAAAATAAATAGATCTTTTACTGGTTTAAAACTTTCAGTTTTTAAAATATTTTTGGTGATGCGAAAATTTTTTTTTTTGCTTTCATTTCAATAATTAAAAAACAAAAAAAAAAAAAAAAATTGTTTACAGAAAATGGAATTTGAATAAAACTCAGCAAAATTTATGGGGTTTACATGTTGATGAAAAATTAGAAGAACGTTGGCGATCATTTGGCTATGATACAGTAAAACTTATTGAACGACAAGCACTTATGCAACGTAAACAATTTGAAAATTTAAAACAAAATTTATCCAATACACAACATGCTTTACAGGTATTGTTTTAATTAGTAATCAGATGATAAGAATGATATGATATGATTAACATTTACTAATGATATTGATATTAAGAAATAATAATTTCAAAATGATATTTTGCTAATTTTTTATGGAAATTTATAAATTATTTCTGAAATAACAAAAAAATTTAGAGTGTATTGCTGATGTGTTAACAGTAAATGAGAATGTTTTATTCTCTGATTAATAGAGCTATGATAAATTCATTTATAAAATTTTTTGTAATTAATTATCAGACTATGTTACTAATTAACTTTTAGAAAATAAGAATATTTCTAAAAATTTTTTGAAAGATTTTGCAATTAAAATGTTCTATTATTTTTTTTTTCTTTGAATAACTGATATGAAATTATATTTTATTATCAGCAATAAATTTATATTGTCATTTTAAATTGCAAATAAATGAAAAAAAAAAATAAATAAAACAAATAAATTCGCATCTTTGATTGCATTCACAAAATTTCTTATATATATATATTTTCTATTTCTTTACAATTCAACTTTATTATCTGGAATTTTTTCAATGTTTTCTAAATCATTTTTTTATATGTGATATATTTGTCTTCTAAATATTATTATCTTTCAATTGTTTAGTATTATTTAATATTACCTGTCTTCTGTTGTTACCTATCTTAATGTTACCTGTCGTTCGATACTTTAATATTATCGTACTTTTCGTTTTTTTTTTTAGTATTTCGTTTTCAATTATACATTACGTTTTTGTTTTCCTTTGAAATATTTCTAAATGAATTTTACATTTTCAATTGATCATTTGTTATGCATAGCAGCCGTTCAATTCCTTCTTGAAACTTTTTTTTTTCTTTAATTTATGATACATCTTTATTACTTTATTTATTACTATTATTATTATCATTATGATTAACTGTTATCATTATAAATATTTTGTCTGAATCATATTTCGTTTCAGTGATCTAATCTAGCACTTATAACATTTTTCTTCTTCTTTTTTAATTTAAAATTTTTCTTTTCAATTAGGATAATTTTTTTTTCTTTCATTTTTAGATATATCACTTTTATGTCTTTCTTAGAACCTTAATTTATTCAATTTCTTTACTTATTTAGACAAAAAAAAAAAAAGGAATGAAGACTATATCATTAATTCTTATTCAAATTACATATTTCATCCTAAATTATCTAAATAAAATTTCATTTCTTTTTTCTGTCTTTTTTCCACTCTATTTGAGCTTTATTAAATTACGTAAATTGTTTTTTCTTTTTTTTTTTTTTTTTAATCCTTTTCTTTACTTTTTAAAAAATCAAAAACGTTCAATTTTATTTAATTTAATATATGTATATGATATTTTAGTAAATGAAAAATTTCACTTTTATTTTTTTTTTTTTTTGGATTGAAGATTATGGCTTAATTTATATGGAAATAATAAGATTGAGATATTCGTATGAAATCTAATGATTTATTAACAGTTGTATTATAGTATATAATAATTAAATATACTTCTTTTTGTAATATTAAAAAGAAATAGAAAAGAAAAGAAAACGAAAAAAGAGAAAGAACAAAAAGAGATATATATTAATTGAATTTTGTTAGATATTACAACAATTGTTATGAAAAAAGAAGTGAAAAATATAAATATCAAATATTTAGTCATATAATGCTTATACCATTTTTACTTTTCTTTTTTTTTAAAAAAAAAATGATTTCATTTTTTTAAATTATTTATTTTTTTCATAATAAACTATGAAAAAAATTATTCGTCCATTTAATATTATAAATAATATGCAATCATATTTTCTACATACTTACATACATATATACATATCGATAATACTTTTTCGAAATAAAAAAAATATGAGAAACCAATTTGTTAAAAAAAAAAAATTATTGGAAATCAATTTGTTAGTCTCATAAAAGCATTCATTCATTCTATTCATCTATTTTAGTGCAATTTAAAAAAAAAAAAGTTTTTATTGTTTTTTCTTTATGCTATGGATTTTCTTCTTTTTTTAATTTTATTTTTTGTGCTATTAAACTATGAATTGAAATTTGAACATTAATTATATCAGTAAAAAAAATTTTATAATATTTTTCAATTTTTCTTTTTTTTTTTTTTTGAAAAAAAAGTTTATCTTAAACTAAATTTTTGTGTATTTTAACTAATTTAAATTCTTATTTGATATTTGTTTTCTTACTTGAGTTTATTTATACTTTTTTATTTTCCTTTGTATTTATGTAAATAATTTTCACGAATCTTGGCTTTATGTGACAAAATTTCATGAAAGTTTAATTTTCATTTTACTAAAACAATTTACAAGAATCATTTACTATTTGTCTTAAAAAAAATGTGTTAATTACATTACACTACCAAAAAAGAAAGCGACGAGAAAATTTTCATAATTAATAATTACATTTAAAATGGTTCCCCTCTTCTCTCCCATCATTTGCCAGTTCAATTGTTTCCTTTCTTTTTTTTTTAAATTCTTTCCAACTATATATCAAATTTTATCATCTAAAATAATAAATGCTAAAATGTGCCGAGGACTTATAGCTAATCGATTAAAGCTATGAGAAATTAATTCTTCTACATGAATGAGCTATTTCATTGTTATTTGATATGAAATGATAATAATAATAGACAGCAACATTATTATCATTATCGTTATTACTATCATTATTGCTGCCATTATCTTTATCATTTCTGCTATTATTGTCATTATCATTATTACTGTCATTATCACTACTACTATCGCTATCATTATCATTATCATCATTGCTGTCATTGTCATTGTCATTATTGCTATCACTATCATTGTTGCTATCATTGTCGCCATTATTATTGTCACTATCGTTATCACTATCATTGTTACTATCACTATTATCACTTTTCATTATCTTCTTATTTTCACTCATACATTTCGAGCAAATGTTTACATTTTTAGTGATTTTCAGATTTTATTTTTTTTTGTTCTTTCCTCCTCTTTCCTCCTCCTTCTCTCTTTTTTTTTTCTTTCATATTTTATTTTTATCGATTTACTAATTCCTTCATATTTACTTCATCCTTCATCATCGTTATACTTTCAGATTTATGCGTTATTTTTTATTTTCTATTCTAATTTTATCTTTCTTTCCCTCTCTCTCTCTCTCTCTCTCTCTCTCTCTCTCCCTTCCTCTCTCTTTTTCTTCCATTCTTATAAATATTTTATGAAAAGAAAAGCATTTCTTTTATTACAAATAATAATAATAATAATAACAACAATGAATAGAAAGAAGGAGAATAGTAAGAATCCATTTACTTTTCTTATTATTATTATTTTTCAACAAATTCATGAAGTAATTTAAATAATATTGAGATGATATAATGATAATACATTCATTTTTATCTCTTTTTGCATTACTTTTCTCTTCATGATTTTTTAATATTTCTTCGAGATTTTCTGATCAAATCCAATCATCATATAATGAATGCAACAAAATTAAATTTTCGAGAAATTTCAAACAGATAAAATTGATGATGATGAAATTTAAATTTTAAAAAATCTCAAAATATAATTTTATTGCATTCCACTCTTCAAAATTTCTCAATGTTTAAAATATTCTTGCATTGCTTTTTTTTTTTTTCATTTTCTTCAAAATTTCTTAAAATTTAACCTTCAATATATTCCTTCTATTTACGATTTCTCGAAATTTGTTCTTGTTACATTGATTTTTTTTTTTTTTTGAGATTTCTTAAATATTTTAATGTTGTGGCATTCTTTTTTCGTTTTCTTCGAGATTTTTCGAAATTTAATTTTGATATATTTATTGCTTTTTGTTGTGATTTCTCAATAATTCATTTCTTAATGTATTTCTTGATGTATTATTGTCTTACTTGTCATTGAAAATTTCACAAAGTACATTTTGTATTTGATTATTTCGATTCATTCATTTCTTTTTTTTAAAAAAAAAAAAAAAAAAAAAGAACGAATAAAATAGAAAAAAGTTAAAGATAGGAAAAAACAGAAAATGAGATGAAAAAATTTCTTTTTTTTTTTGTAGCATTCTGAAAATGTAAAAATGTTACATAAATTCCTTTTCATACTTTTTTAATTTCATTTTTATTATTAGGAATTACATTTTATTTTTTTTATTACATTTTTATTATTTTTTAATTTCATATTTTTTACTATTTATTGAAGTTATAAAATTTATTCATTTAATAATAATGATCACTTAAAAAGAGAACAAAACTGATAAAATATATTGATATATTGATTTATTACTATTGCTAATATTAGAATATTTTATATTAATATAGTAGTTTTAACCTAATTGTTTTATATAAAAAAAAAAATTAATTATGAGCTTAATTAGTGCATTATTTTGTAAGAAAAAAAAGTGAAATGATAATTTCAATTTCTTCTTCTTTTTTTCTGGTGCAATAACGAAAATAAAAAATGATTAAGCTGCTCTTATTGTTATTGTCATTACAAATTTTGCTTATCAGTATTACTTTTTTTTTTTTTTTAGTGTAGTTATTTCTTTTTTAAAACATATAATCCTAAAATGATTCATTTTTAGGCTGTTTCTTCAACTTTTCGTCAAACTGCTGAAAATTTGGGGCGTGTTGAGTGGAATTTATCATTGTTACAAGAAGGTGCCAAATTGATACCTAACTTTTCAGTTTTTTTAACTAATAGCAATTGTTCTACCACAAGAAATAAATGAAATATTTAATTTTTGTCATTGTTACACTTTTATTATTATTTTCATTGTTTTTTTATTGTTGCTAGTGAAAAAAAAAAAAACTGTATTTTTCAAATAATTTTAAAAGTTTATTTTTCGAATTATTCGCTCTTTTTTCTTTTTTAAATTTTTCATTGAATATTTTCAACGTGAAAAAAAAATTATGCAAATGAAAAAAAAATTTTTTTTTCTTTTACTTTAAAAATTTTCTTCTTTTATTTTGTTTTAAAAGTATTTAATGAAAATAATTTCCAGAAATTCTTTTAAAAAAATTTAAGATTTCATACATTTTTCTTTTTCATTTTACTTTCTAAAAGTAGTCTTTGTCTTAGCAGCTCTGGAATAAATTTAAAAACGAGAAAAAAGACAACAATCCTTTTTTTTTTTTTTCTTTTTATATTTGAATATATTTTAAAATGTAAAGTAAAAAAGAAAAGTGTAGTGTAAGATTATAATTGAATGTTTTACTTTGAAAAGCTTTACATTATCAATTGAACCATTTTATTGCTTCACAATTGATTCATTTTCATTCATTGCTCTTTTATCATTTTAATGAGAAATGTTGTAAAAAAGAATTGATATTTATACTAATAACTGAAACTAAAACATTCATAGCAATTATTTCAAATTTTTCAGTAGTAAAATTATTGATTATTATTATTATTAATCATTAAATTTTGAACAAAAATTGAAATTATTATGAAAACATCGAAGAAATGACATTAAAAGTAGGCATGGCTTTTGATTATTTGAGATAATAATAATAATAATAATAATAATAATAATAATAATAATAATAGCAATAATAACAATAATAATAATAGTGATAATAATAATAATAATAATAATAATAATAATAATAATAATACAATAATAATAATAGTGATAATAATAATAATAATAGTGAATGGGAATTTTTCGAGAAGTGATTTTAATTATGGTTTCTGCATCACCTAAATTTCAGTTATAGTTATAAAAACATTCGAGTTTTTCCTTTTTATTTATTTATTTCTATTCTATGTTATTAATTAAAGATATGTCATAAATTGAATGGAATTAGTAAAATAAATTTATGACTGATAAATTTTGATACTTAATATTTTACTTTTCGCATTTTTATTCATTTCTTATTTTATTTATTTTTTCTTTCTTTTTGTTTTCTTTGATTAAATTGCTCAATTATTTGGTGCTATCTTGCCATGCATTTCATTCATTCATAATGAATTTGTGTTAAATTTTTATTGAAATATTAAATTTCAATTATCATTTTACAATTTAAAAAATTTTAGCATATATCTTGGAATAAACATACTGTTAGAAACTTTTTATTCTTTCCTGAAATTGTTTATTTCTTATCAAGATAGGTGGATAAATAGATCGATTGATCGGTGGATAAATAGACCGATTGATCAATAGGTATAGATATAGGTATAGTATATGTAGAATTACCGTAATAATTTTTAAAAACTTTTTTCTAGCAAAATTAATACAATTCATATAATTTTAATTTAAAATTATTTTTAACGATTAATTGTTTTAAATTTTTATTTATTAAATGTGTAATATGACATTTAAATAGCTTTTAAATCATTTGCAAAATTTGCGATATTTGAATTTTTTAAATTGGCTTGTAGTCGAAATAAAACTTTCTAAATGTGAAAAGTAAGGAAAGAAATTGTGAAATTTTTATTCTTAATATTCTTCTTTTTCTTTTTTTTTTTTTGTTCTCTTTATTTTTATTATTTTCATAATTTTTATTTTAATTTACTTTTCAAATACTAATAATTTCATCTTTGTCTTCTTACACTTCCTAGCTACTTTTCATATTATTTATATAATTTTATATGATTGTATTAAAATTTAAATTTATATGACTCTAGCAATCTATGAGAGAAAAAGTTGATTTTTTTTTTTTTAATATTAATTCGATTAAATTCAAGTGAATTTATAAAATTAAATATTGTGAGGTTTTTTTTATTATTATTATAAATTATAAACTAATATTTTTAGTCTTTTCCCACTTCTTTTTTTTTTTTTCTTTGCAAATGTAAAAACTATAATTTTACATTTTCATCTATTCTTTTATCAATCATTTTCTTGTCAGTTGTAAATTTTGTGAATTTTAAACTCTTTGAAAAGCTCAAATGGAGGAGAAAAAGATGATGAAAGAAAGAGGAAAGAGAAAATGCATATCCTGCGGGAATATTATCAGATAAAAATTTGATCAATCATATTTGTATGAAAGATTTTTTTTTCAGATAAATTCTATAAATGTTAAAAAAAAAAAAAATAAAAATAAAGAAAAACTATAAATTATTGTCATAAAATACTTTTGTCATACATACATAACATATATATACTCTTTTTCAATCTTTTTCGATTTTAAACTTATACTTTTCAGTAATTTCTAATTTTAAAATTGAGAAGATAACATCAATAAATTGTAATATTTCCTCCACGTTTCCAATTTTTAAATTTTAAAAAAAAAAATATTGTGCAAGTATTTGTTTAGCTAATTTAGCTAAAATATTTTGGATAACTTTTCATTCACCTTTTTTTTTTCTTTTTTTACATTAAAATTGAGATAATAACTATTTAATATGAAATTGTGGAATGTCAATTATTTCAAAATTGTAATTTAATATTTTTTTTTCCCAGTACTTTAAAATGTAGGGTGAATTGAACAATAATTATGGTCAATAAAAGTTTTATGTTATTTGATTAAAATTAAAAGTTTTAATAAATATTTTTTTCTTTGTTTAGGAAAAAAAAATTTTTTTTTTTTGGTTTGTTAAAAGTTTATATTATTTAATTTCTTAGTATTAATTATATCATTGAAAATAAGTCAAAATTTTTTCAATTTCTATACAATTAGGTAAAGTTATCATTGGCAATAATATGGCCAAGAGCAATTAGCAATTAAGTATTATTAGAAATTAGCTAAGGAAACTCATTAGCACATTGTATAATTAAAGGATTTTATCTAAAAAAGGAAAGAAAAATTTTTTTTTTCTTGTCAACTTCTATCACAGAGAGAGAGAGAGAGAGAGGGAGAGGGAGAGGGAGAGGGAGTGTTTTTTTAATTTAGTATTAAACTATTAATGATTTCTTTTTTTAATTAAAAAGTTGAATAAAAGATTGTGTTAATATTTTATTATTCAATTTGATATTTAGCACTTTTACATATACATTAAATTTTTAAAACTAACAAATTTTTTTTTCATATAGAAATAAAATTTGAATTTTATTACAATGTTATATGAATCAGTTGCAATATAACTTGAAAATAAATAAATATAATTCATTTCATTTCTATTGCATCACTTTAAATTTATGGTTTATCATTTTAAATCTTAATACAATTTAAAAAAAAAAAAAAAAAAAAACGAAGACTTTTTTTCCTCCTTTTAATTATTATTTAATAAATAATTCTGGTATGCTATATATTTCATTCATTTCTAAAATTAATCACTGTGATGTCTAATTTTTTTCTTTGTTCTTTGTTTTTAAATGAAAGTTAATAATTGGAATTATTGAACTTAATAACTGTATTATTAAAATGAATGTGTTATTTATATTTGTAGGTTTGTTTTTTTTTATTTAAAAAGTAAAATAAGTGTTTTATCTAATTTTATTTAATAAATAAGCAAAAATTTTTTTGCTTGAAAATATAATCAGTACAAATATTTTTTAAAATGAAAAAGTAAAAAGAAGAAAAAAAATAAAGTGACATAATTTTTCCACTTTTATTAATTTTCTTTTTCTTTTTTTGAATTAAAAATTTATAAAACATTGGGTTCACTTAGAAAACGAAATGTTAAAAAAAAATGAATAAATAAAAAGATTTACATTATCAGAATTTTCAAATGTAATAAATTTTTTGATTAAAAAAGACTTTTTCTTTTTTTGGATTAGGTATTGACTTTATTTACCTATTAAATTCTTTTTATTTATTATAATCAAAATTTCAAATGTTTGTTAATTGTATTATTTTTCTGACTTAGTTAACTTTCTGGAATAGTACTATCCTAAAATTAACATTCATTTCGTTAACATATTTAGTTGATAATAAGTAAGATGTAGTATTACCAAGTAATAAGTATAATAGAGTGCATCAGATAGCAGGTAGTAAATAGAGAGTCAAAAATTTCATGTATTTTCCGGATTTCCGGATTTGAAGCATTTTTCGAATTTCTCCATTTCAGACATTGCTTATTAATTTTTGTTTTACTGTAAAAGCGTTTCTCTTTTTAATAGCTATTGATGAAATAAATTTATAAAATTTGAAAAAGAAATATTTATTTTTTCAGGTTTATATTATCAAATATGTCAGCTAATGATGAACAATCTGATAAAGTTATCACAAATGATAACACTGATAGTGATAATAATGATAAAGCTACTACCACCAGTGCTACTGCTACTGCAATTGATCAGTCTATTGATATGCAACTTGGAAGTAAACTTTTTTCCTTCTTTCTTTTTCTCTCTTTCATTCTCTCTCTCTTCTTCCCCCTTTCTTCCCTTATAACAAATATAAGAATGAAATTTCAAAAAAAAAAAAAAAAAAAAAAACATAAAAAAAAATAAATGAAAAAAAAATTGAAGTATAATTGCAAATTTTAGATTATATTTGATAAAAATTATAACCATTAATTTTGAGAATTGCAATTTCAAAATTTTGTTTCAAATATTATTTCTCATTTAATTCTTATTTTAATAATTTATTATGCTATTTTATGAATAAATCGTTTTACCACTGTGAAAAGAAAGTAAATGAAAACTTTTTTTTTTAAGTAATTGTTTCTTCTTATAATGGCATTGGAGAATTTCTTTTTTCTGCATATTTGGTTTTTTTTTTTTTTTTTTTTGGATATTTTGCTAAAGTAATTGAAAATTTTTCAAAAATTTAAGTTTTAGAATAAAAATAATTTTAATGTATAATTTATACGTCAATTTCAGTAAAACAATAAAAGTCAAATTTGAATAATTAATTTGCAAAACTAACTGATAAGCAATAATTAGGTAAGTTTGTCTCAAATTTGAATAATTATTTTGGGAAACAAAAATTTTTTTTTCTTTTTCGAATGTGGTGAAATTCGTTGTGGTAAAAATATAGCGTACATAGTGGTTGGTATAATTTTCCGTGAACGTGATGACGGCAATTTAGAATTGTTACTTACGCAAGAAGCAAAACGTCGATGTTTGGAAAAGTTTGTAATTAATTATTTTATAAGTTATATTGAAATTGTTTTTGCCTATGTGTAGAGATTTTATAAGATTAGCTTATAAAAACAATTTTTTTTTCCCTATCTGTTTTAAAAATAACAAATTTGATTTTAATTTTGTAATGTTAATAAAAAAGTAATTTAAATTAATATTGTAATTTATGTTTAAAAAATTTGAAAATTTAAAATTGAAGAAAAAAGAAAAGTAGAGAAATTGAATGTAGCAAAAAAGGAGAGAAATGAAATTGCTAATTTATACATAATTTATTTAAATTAATTACTTATTTATATTTATAATAATTATAATTTTTTAAAATAGATTAATTAGAAATGAATAATACTGTATTTGAAATGCTATTTTATCACTTATCAGTAATAAAAATGCGAATAATTTTAACAATAGCTTTTGAAAATTTTTAGATTTAAATAAACAAATTAATGCATTTTCCATTTTAAAGTTATACTTTAAATTTTGGAATTGTTTTAAATTATTTTTGAAGAAAAGAAAAACGAAACAGATAGAAGAATTTTGATATATTTTATATCGTTAAAAAAGAAAAAAAACTTTCTTTCATGTATTTGTAATATTTTAATTAAAAAATTTCAAAGTTATTATTTTAGATGGTATATTCCAGCTGGACGTGTTGAACCAGGTGAAACAATATTGGTTAGTGTTTACCTGTTTTATAGTTAATTTTAATTAATGCATCAAAATTCAATGATTAATTTGTGGAATTGAATTTTTTAATGAATTTATTTATATAAATTTATAGAATTTATTTAATTTTTATGAATAAAATTTTTCAACTTAAAATTAATTTTGATAAGAATAATTTTAATAAAGTTTTAATGCATTTGTTAGCAAATCAAAAAATTAAAATTTTTAAATATTTCAATTTATTTTAAAACGAATTGAATAAATGTTACATGCATTCATATTTCCTAAGTATTTATCTTTTTTTTTTTCTCTCTCTCTCTCTCTCTCTGTCTTTGATAACTAAATTTTTTGATATAATATGCAAATTATTTTGAATATTTTTGTTTAATTAATAGTAATTTTTATTCAGTTCTTTTGAACAACTTTTTTTTTTCTTTTTTTTTTGTTAAAGAAAAACAATAAATAATTAAAATTATTAGATATTTAAAGGATTGCAAGTGACTGAATAAATTTATATTACTATTTAATGATAAAAAATATTATTTATTAATTTATCAATCTTTTAAATTTTTTTTTTAAAAAATTCTTTTTAAATAGGATGGTGTTATTCGAGAGGTTCTCGAAGAAACAGGCTATAAATGTGAGCCAGAAGAATTATTAGGTATTGAAGTACAAGGCTCTGGATGGTATCGATTTTCATTTTATTGTAATATCATCGGTTAGTTATACAAAAAAAAAAAAGAGTATTATAAAAAATTTCATTTTTTTTTTTAAGAAAAAAATAAATTTTTTATAATTTTACTTAAAATATAGTTAGTTTTAGAATTTATTTAAGAATATATGTGTGAGAGATGTTATAATTTACATAAAAATTTACTAATTAAATTTTTAAACTGTAAAAAATTAATTCAAAATCATAAAACTAATCAATTTGATTGTTTTTTTTTTTTTTTTTTTGTTTTTAATTTTATTACAACTTTAAAAATTTTTTGCTAAATTTAGTTTTTCTTTTTTATTTTCACAAAATTTTATTAGTATATCTTTTTTATCATAAAATTATTTTAAAAATTTTCATTTTTTTTTTTTTATAAAAAAGAAAGAAATTTCATCTAATCAATCATTCATCATTTTATAAAAATTGATTAGAAAGTAATTTGTTAAATATTTGTTGAAAATTTTTTGATATTTAGGCGGTGAACGTAAAGTAATCGCTGATAATGAATCATTGGGTGCTAATTGGTTTTCAATAGATGAAATTATAGCAAAAAAGATTGATTTACGGTATAATATTTAAAATTATATTATAATCTCAAAATGCGATAATATTAATGATAATTTATGAATAAATTGTTAAAATATATATATGTAATGAATGAATTAAATTTAAATAATTTTTTTAGGGCATCAGATTTTTTAAAAATTATTGAAAAAGCTATGGAATATCGACAAAAACGCAAACAATTTGCTAATAATTTATCACGATTTTTACCAATTCCAATTTCAGTCGATGGATTATTCATTGAATTTGCAATTCTTCGAACAATTAAGTAAGATATAAGTTGAAGGAGAAAAAAATCTTAATTTTAAATTAAGAAAATGATTTTTTTTTTTTTTTTTTAAATCATTTCCTTCTTTTTTTTGTTTGGTAGATTTAATTAAATAATAGTAATTCGATTCTCTATTTGTTTTATTTTGCTGTTTCATTTTACTTATTTATTATTTTTTGCTATTATTTTATCATTATTATCATTGTTATTATTATTGTTATTGCTATTCTTTATTATTACTGTTATTATCATTTATTATTATTATTATTATTATTGTTGTTGCTATCCTTTATTATTATTATTATTATCATTATTATCATTAATATTATCATTATTATTGTTGCTATTACTATTCTTTATTATTATTAATGTTATCATTATTATTATTATCATTAAATTACTATTATTAATTATTGTAATAATATTTTTTTTCAATTTCTTAAATTTTTCAAAAATTTAATGAGAATTTTCCAGATATTATCTTCGATATGCGTAATTTTTTCAGCGACAATGTTGAAATTTTGGTTCAGCGAAATATTCCCAATGACGAAGCACTTATTACAATAAAAAATGCTTTTCCTTTGGTTGAATTTAATTTTCATTATTTCTTTCCAATGGTTGTATTAAAATTTTTTCAGGTAATTTTAATTCTTTTCTCTTTTTTTATTTTTCAAAATTTATTTATTAGACTAAAGATTAGTTTTTTTTTTTTATGATAAAATGCAACAACAACAACAACAACAAATTATATTAATTAACATTTATTGTTTGATTTATTTATAGTTTAATTCTAATTTTAATTCTATAATTTTATTCATTCATTTATTTATAAATTAACTTTAGCTTTAATTACAAATAAAACTTACAAAATATTGTTTATCGAATTTAATTTATCAAAGAAAGTTTGTTAAAAAAAAAATTTTATAAAAAAAAGGACAAATTTTTTTTAAAAAAATTTAAAAAAACATTTGCAATTTTTTTTTCTTTCATTTTTTCACACATTTTTTTGCTAATTGTGAAACATTCAATTCTGCTTGTTTGCGTTTATCAAATTGTAAACAAATATGATTGGTGCAAATTAATTAACTAGTCAATTACAATTAACTAAGTGACTTAATTAATTAACTACAACATTAAGTAATCAATGAATTAAGTGAACAAATTAATTAATGCTTAATTATTTAATTCAACTCATCAGTCAATTAATCACCTTACTATTATTATATTTTTTAATAAATTTTTTTTTCCTTAAAATTTTGACAAAAAATTAAAATTACCTTATTTCAACAATTTAAACCTGAAACGAAGAGAAAAATTGAAATTTTAGAAAATAATAATTAAATTTAGTCTATCTGAATAATTTTTCTCCATTACCAAAAATGATACAAATATAAAAACAATTATCACTTCAAATTATTTATTCAATTAATTATTTAAATTTTATTCAAGTTGAAATAATCATATAACAAGGATTGATTCTTAAATTAAGTTTTTTTATTTTTTTTTCTTTTAAAAGAAAGGAAAAAGTGTTATTGTTTATTTTATCGTTTGGTGATATTTGTTTCTGTTTTATTTTATTTTACTTTAATCTAATTTGTTGCCAAATAATTATTTAAAATTTTCCTCACTTTTTTCTTTGGTTGTTTTTAATTTGTTCTTTTTTCTAAGAAAAAAATAAAAAAAAAAAAGAACAAAAGAGATCAAAATTTTGAAATATTAATTTTACTAAATATGAAATTGAATTAATTATAGCAAGTTTTTAGTGAATAAATAAGAAGCTAAGGCTTTTTTGCTTAAGGTAAATTAGCTTACAACACTTCGTGAATTTTGAAATAGCCAAATTTTAGAAATTTTGGTTTTAATACAAATATTACCCTCTAATTCTAATTTTACACGATGAAATATTAAACCTAAAATTTTGCATATTTAAATTGGAAAAAATTTTTTGAAAAAAAAAAAAATTCATAGAAAGGTTTTTCCAAATTACATTAATATCATACTAATTCAAAATAATTTACCTTCCTTTTTTCTTTTTCTTTTTTTTTTACTCAATTATAAATAAATAAAATAAATGCGAGGCAAAAATAGCTAATCAAAAAATTAGAAAGGAAAGAGAAAATAGACGAATGCCCTATGACCTTGAAATAATTAGATGAGAATATTGCAAAATGATTTGGTCGATGAAATGAAACTGTTTGAATTGCAGTATTCCATTCTTTTTCTTTTTTTCGCACTATTTGCATAATTAACAAATTATTATAAATTTAATTAGTAAAATATAATTATTTTTTTGTGATTAATTTTTATGCATTATTCTGCAACTTTATAAAATTTTTGCATGCAAAAATTGTAAAACTGTAACATAATTAAATGTTATTTATGTAGTAATTTGCTTATTTAAGAAATTTTTTGTTTTAGAGTTTTTTTTTTTTTATTACAATAAGTTATTTTAGTCATTTGATCTGATAAAATGAAAAGTTTAGAAAATAAAATTATTATTATTATTATTAAAAAGACATTAAATTGTTTTACTATTCTTTGATATATTTCTTTTTTTAAGCGATTTTATTATTTATTATTTGATTTTTTTTTTTGTTGTTTCTTAATTATTTTAATTATTTTGTAATTTACTCTCAATATTTGCGAATATTCTCATTCATTTTCTTTTTTCTTTTTGCTTTTTTTAACTAAAATATTTTTAAATAGTATTTTTAGATAAAAATAATAATTTAAATATTTTTAGATAACATTATAGCAATAAAAAAGAAATAAAAAAACTTTGCAATGTTGCAAACTATAAAAAATAAATAAATTATTTTATCTAAAAATTGAGGTTATGAATTTTAAAGCATTCAAATTTAATTGATGGTGAAAGAAACTAATATATATATATATATGGAAATTATTCATACATTTGAATATTTTTTTCATTCTTTTACTTCTTTATATTTTCAAATATTTCTTTTGATAAAATTTGAATTTTAATAAAAATAACAAAAAAAAAAAGGAAAAATTTCAATCAGAATATTTTTCTCTAAAATACTTTTCTTTTTAATCACTAATAAATGTCATAGTTTTTTTTTTTTTTTTTTTCTAAAGGACCAAAAATGAAAGATCAATTTTTTTTTAAACTAATAATTATTTGATTGATTGATTGATTTTTTCTTTTTGTTTCAGGTGAATAATTTTTTTTAACAGATCAATTTTCAATTATAATATTTTTCTTTTTAATCAGCAATATGAAATGAATTAATTTTTACATTTAATAAAATATTGATTTTAACAGAAAGAATAATTTTAAATTTTTCATTCTTTTTTCAAAAAAAAAAAAAAGAAAAAATTTTTTTTTCTTTTTTATTCTTTTTAAATATAGAATAAAAGGAAATTTTATTCGGCGGTAAATGATTAGGAATTGTGTGTTCCAATAATTAATTATCATCGTCTATTGCGCACATGCTACTACTCGTTGATAACATTTGTCATGAATTATTTTCATTCATCAATTCTTATCTTTTCCTTTCTTTTTTTTTTTATTTTTCTTCAAGAAAATTCTAAAAATCACATTTTTCATTTCTTTAAAAATTTTTTTTCCGTTTTTTTTTTTTTTTTTGCAAAATTTTTATAAATTTAAAAGATTTTTCTCATTTTTTTTTCTCCCAATTTTTCAAGATTTTTATTTCTTTCACTGTTATCTTTCGTTGAAAATACTAAAATTTTTTTGTGTATGTGTATGTTACTTCTTATCAGTGTTGTTTCTTATCAATTGCTTCTTATCAATTAATTTTTTTTTTCGCATTTCAAGGTTAGATAATAAATTTGATTAAATTCTTAGAAAATGAGAAGATCAGATCAATTGTTGAAAAATTTAATGTATAATAACAATAATAATGATAGTGACAATGTTAATAATTTTGTTTCAATCAGGAAGAATTTAATTGAAAATTAAGCAAACATTTTTCTTTGATCATATAATAATATAATAAGCAATTTTAGTTTATGAAAATTATAAATTCAAGAAATTACACTTTCTTTTGAATTTATAAATTTATATCTGATTTTATAAAGTAGGAAATGAATGAAAGTTTAGATAAATCGAAGAAAATTGATAATTTAAACTAATATACGCACAGTTGTTGAGTTACGTGAAAACATATGACGTAAGGTTACGGTTAAGGTGTAAGATGATGAAAGATTATGCGTGATAATCGATAAGCGTCAACTAATTAGTTCGTTAATTAATTAATTGTTTAGGTAGAAAGAAATTAAACGTTTAATTATGAAATTAGTAATGTAATTACTGCACTAACACTTTTTCTCTTTCTTTATTGCCATATTTTATCATAATATGTGTGTGTATGTATGTGTGTGTGTGTGTGTATGTGTATGTGTACGTGTATGTATGTATGTATGTGACGTGACTAAACATTCTTCCCGTGTTTACTGTTATTTAATTTATGGGCACATTTTGTGTATTCATAAATTGCTGTAATAAATTATCAAATCTTCAAATTGCGGGTCATTTGATGAAGTTGTTTGATGATTGTTGAATACTAAAGTTGACATCAAATAGAAAACTTTGCAATATATCTTCTCTCTCTCTCTCTCTCTTACTTTATAGATTCTTTCCTCTTTTTTTCATCTGTTTTTCCCCGCTTTCTTTTCATTTTAAATTGTATGTTTTGTTTTTACCAAAAAAAAAAAAAAAGAAACGATTAATCGAAATAAATCATTGATTATATTAAAGAAAGAATTTTCTAAGAGATTGGTCTTTTCGTCTCTTCAATTTCTATCATTAATTTATGATTTATATAATAATAATTGGAAAATAAAATTGGGATAATTATGAAATGGAAATTATAATTATTATTATAATAATAATTGATTATAATTAATTAATAATAAAATGACGCAATGATTATTGTTGTTACTGATTACAATGATAATAAATGATTATGCAAAGATAGATTAAAGTTATAAAATTTAATTAATTCATTTGATATTTGT